ACGTTATAAAAAATATAAAAAAAAAGTCCGCTTCTACACTGTCTCTTTCTTTTCATTTTTTGGGAAAAGAGGGGTTTCTATATATATATAGAGAAATATAAATATTCATATATATAATGAAATTTAATGTGTGTGTATGTGTGTGTATGTATATATATGTGTGTGTGCATATATACATATATATATTTATTTATATATATATGTATGTGTATGTCTTTATATGTCTATATATATATATATATATATATATATATATATATATATATATATATATATATATATATATATATATATATATATATATATATATATATATATATATATATATATATATATATATATATATATATATATATATATATATATATATATATATATATATATATATATATATATATATATATATATATATATTAAATATAATAATATAACATAAAATGGTGAAAACTAGTACTATTTTTAATAAAAAATTATAAATATGTATTTATATTTATTCTTTTATTAATACCTTTAAACAATAAAATGGGACGGTGTTTTGAATCCCTTAATTAATAATTAAATGTAATACACTATTAGAATGATTTGGATTAATTAGTTTTTTTTTATGCTTGAAATATGAGAATATTATAATATGTACTATTCGAATTAAAATTTAAAAATATTATATAAACTTCTTTTGCAGTGTTTTGTGAACCTAATTTTTTTTTCTCTGAGGCGTTCGCCTGAATTAGAAATTAAAGTTCAAAATAAATATTGTGTTATTTTTTCTATTTTTTTTTTTTTTTTGAGAAAGCAAATTTTTTGAGTGTTGTAGGAAGAAACATAATTAATTGGTTTCCATATTAATAAAATTTTATTTTTTTATTTTTTCCTTTTTACGCAGTATAAATTTATAATAATGACATTTCGCCCTGAATTTTGTTTCAATTGAAAAGAACCCCTGTCGAGTCAAATTTATTGCACATGATGTGGGGTTGAGCATATAAGAGAGAGATGGGAGTATTATTGGCCATTGTTGAAGTAGCGAGTCATGTCAAATATGTATGATATTGTGTCCATAATTTTAGCCACACGAATGAAACACGTGTTTTAAGAATCTGAATCTCAATAAATACGTTTTGATTAGAATCGGGTTGGGTTGGTTTTTATCCACCAATCGACCTATTACCGATCATATTTTTAGGTGGATTATCAATTTTTAACCGATCCATTGGATCGGGTCTAAAATGTCAACCAACCCATCTATAATGGGTCGGTCGGTGGTTTTTAATATTATTAAAAGTTGGTTGACCGATAATTATCGGTCATCCATCTATACTATTAAACTTTTATTAAAAATATAAAATAAAGGTCGTATTTTCTTAATTGGTTATTGAAATTATCAAAATAATTAGTATTTTAAATTTTAAAAACAATCAACAAGGGAAAAAAGTTTGACATAAATCTTCCACCAGTTTCTTTATGCCAAAACTTAACCAAAAAGCCTACATAACTCCACTAAATCTCTTGTGTATGTTTGAAATTTCTTGAATTTCCGAGTTATATTTTTTCGTTAAATTATTATTAATTATTTTGAACTGATAAATGATGATCGAACCGTAGCATTATGCAAAATGTGGATATTTTTACTAAAAAAATTGAATTTTTTTTATGTGAACTAGGTGACGGGTATAAACCATCAACCGAACCAAATATGAACCAAATATTCGGTTACCAACCATCCACCGACCCAAAAAGGTTGGGTCGGCATCGCACTACAAGAAAAAGTTGCATTAGCGACACCCAATTGTAACAAACGCAAAAGTTGTCACTTAATGCACACATTAAGTGACAACATTTTTTTTTATTGTCACTAATAACTCTTTTTGTTGTCACTTAATCCTTATTTATTGTCACTATAGAGCATTAGTTACACCCCGTTAGTAACAAGCATTGACAACACTTTTTGCCTAACTATGTGGAAAATAGGTGTTGTCACTTAAAAGTTTTTTTTTGTAGTGACGGTTTTCAAATTTGAGCAAAAATGGTTTGACGCATGGGTCGGTTTTTAGGCTGGTAATCGACCGACCTAACCCAGTCCCAACCATAGTCTTGATTTTAGGAGAATATATATTGATAGACCAAAATACCCTTGTTAATTCACTAATTAATGCATAAATAATATTTGAGAGTTAATAATGATATAACTGAAAAATATGTAACTAATGCAATATTGAAATTGTAAGGAAACGGGTAATATGGAACAAAAGAAATTTTCAAAAGAGACAGATATTGCAGTAACATATAGAGTAGTAAATATCATTTTCAAAGGGCCAAACTTCCCAAACTACCCTTCAGTTTATATAAAATTTGAATTACTGTTGTAGAATATAGTATAAAATATAATATAAAGAGACTATACTAGAATTAATACAAGAAAACAAGGGAATATAGCCACTCAAAGCTTCTGTATAGAAATTATGTTTTATAATAAAAGGTAATTCTTCATCTCACCTGATTACATCTATTTATACATGAGATTACCTATTACATATATGACACGAAGCATATGTTTTAGATAGTCATTAATTAAAATTAATACACGTATTAATACAAGGGTCTACAAGGCATACATATGAAGATCACGTGAAGGCATATGTATATACCTAATTCCCATGTGGTCATAACAATTACCACTTTTTAATTTTAATAAAATTACGAAAAAAAATATGGATAACGACTGAACGTGAATTATATCTGGAATTGTATAAGTCCCATAATGTACAAGTTTTAGCATATTTGCTCCTCAACAAATTTTTTGCATTCTGTAAAATGTGAACCACTACTTTTAAATAATAGACCAATCAAAGAGTACTAGATAGCCCTACCTTTATATCAAAGGGACAAAATGGTCAATTAAAGTTCCCTACATATAAAAACGTTCAATTGAGGCCAAATTTTATTAATGGTCCATCATTTTCACATTTAGTCTCACTTTGGTCCCTCGTGTCTTAATTGTCTCATTTTTATCCCTGATCTTTGTAATCCACCTCATTATCATCCCTTGGTTAATAAACATGTTAACTTTAACGAAATCTTTTTAAAGACTGGTGGAATATTCCATTGTTAGAATTATTTTTGATAAATTGTGACTTTTTTCAATAAATAATAAAGTTTGTAATTTAAAAATAATATTTGCAACCAACAAGAATGTAGCTTGAAAATAAATAACTTAAAAAACTACTATTTTTATGAAATATTAATTTATATTAATATAAAACGAATCATTTATTTTGTGGATATATGACTTGAATCTAGAAACGTATTTAAATAATTATAATATGTCATCTACATATATTCTCTATCATTTTTTTTCTATGATCTTATGTTAATATTTAAAGAACTAATCCAATTATATATGTTTTTTCTAGTTTTTATTAATTTATTTATAGTTTATTACAAATAATTATAAGAATAGAATATAATCCAATAACTAAAAGATCCTGTTAAAGTTAACTAAATTATACACCGAAGTACTATATTGAGATAGATTGTAGAGTTGGAGAATGATCATGAGACAATTGGGACATGAGGGACTAAAGTGGAACTAAACATTAAGATGAGGGACTATTAGTGAGATTTGGCTTTTAATTGAAGGATGGAAATGCAATATTGTAATATCATATTATACAAAAAAAAAAATAAAAAAAATCAATATAACGCTAACCTTAGGCACCCAAGAAAAAGCAAACACATATATTTTTTTGTCATCAAAATAAAATGTGTAGCATTATAATGCAACTAGCGATTTCGAACAAGCCCGTAGATTGTATTTCTTCCTTTAGCACGAGAAAACATCTAAAAGCGTGGTTTGTGCCCTCCCTTGTAATAAAGCCTAACTGTTCATCGTTAAAATGCAACGCAAAGGCCGTTTGCGATGATCTCGTTATTAATCCAACTGTTCGACGAACCGGAAACTACAAGCCTTCACTTTGGGGTTTCGATTATCTTCAATCAGATTTGAACTCCTGCAGCCTTAGATGCTGCCAATTGTATTGGGCCTGTGGGAGAATCACAGTTTTTGTGTGATCAAACCTTTCTTTGAGTTTTTGCCATATCTCTGATGGCCTTTCAAGTTGTATATATTCGTCTTTCAAATCCTCGGAAAGATGATGACGAATAAAAATCATAGCATTTGCCTCATCTTTCCTGTTTGCCTCCTTGATATCTACACAATCCAAGGCTTTTACAAGATCTAGCCCTTGGAGGTGTAATTTGATATCTAAGCACCAGGATAAAAAGTTACTGCCGGTAACATCAAAGATTTGAAATTTTTGTTTTTCGATTCCGGCCATCGTAAAATAAAATAAGTAGAAATAGTACAACAAAAAGATAAATTTTACAAACCTATAAATTTGTAGAGCAAAAGCTCGTGCTGATAACGTGTTGTAGAATATAGTATAAAATATAATATAAAGAGACTATACTAGAATTAATACAAGAAAACAAGGGAATATAGCCACTCAAAGCTTCTGTATAGAAATTATGTTTTATAATAAAAGGTAATTCTTCATCTCACCTGATTACATCTATTTATACATGAGATTACCTATTACATATATGACACGAAGCATATGTTTTAGATAGTCATTAATTAAAATTAATACACGTATTAATACAATGGTCTACAAGGCATACATATGAAGATCACGTGAAGGCATATGTATATACCTAATTCTATTGGTTGAGTCCATGTGGTCATAACACTCCTCCTTGGACGAAACATCATTTCCTTAAAATCAACGTCATGTGTATAGGCTACCTCGTTAAAAACCTTTGCTGGAAAACCCAATGGGACAAAACCAGTCATAAGGGAAAAAGAGTGTAGCACATCATGGCTTCTCCTGAAATGAGCAGTATAAGTCCCAGGATGGACTCTCAGTCTTGAGTCACATTGGCTCTTCTCATGCCAATGTTATATACCAATTTCTCAAATGTAGAAGTAGGCAAGGACTTTGTAAACAAATCAGCAAGATTGTCGCATGAGCGAACTTGTCGAACATCGATCTCTCCATTCTTCTGAAGCTCATGTGTGTGGAAGAACTTTGGTGATATATGTTTGGTCCTATCACCTTTTATGTATCCGCCCCTTGTTTGCGCTATACAAGCAGCATTGTCTTCGTAAATGACTGTGGGCGTGTTTGTAACTGGATGTAATTTGCAGGAATTTCGTATATGCGATATAACCGATCTTAGCCAAACACATTCTCTGCATGCCTCATAAAGAGCTATTATTTCTGAATGATTTGATGAGGTGGCCACTAATGTTTGTTTGGTAGATCGCCAAGATATACCTGCACCATTATAACAAAACAAATATCCAGTTTGTGAACGAGCTTTGTGGGGATCAGATCTATATCCCGCATCGGCATAACCAACTAACCCTTGGTTAGTTGCATTCTTTGAATAAAATAATTACAAATCTGCAGTGCCACGAAGATATCTAAAAATATGTTTAACACCATTCCAGTGTCTCCGGGTAGGCTCAGAACTGTACCGCGCAAGCACATTTACCGCAAAAGCGATATCAGGTCGAGTGCATTGTGCTAGATACATTAACGCTCCGATAGCATTTAGATACGGCACTTCTGGGCCAAGTATCTCTTCATTAAATTCTTTAGGTCGGAACGGATCCATTTGAGGATCTAAATTGCGCACAACCTTAGGGGTGCTCAATGAATTAGAATTTTCCATATTAAACTTTCTGAGCACTCGTTTAGTATATGCAGATTGGTGTATAAGTATGCCGTTATTTTTATGCTCAAGCTCAATACCAAGACAGAGTTTGGTTTTTCCAAGGTCCTTGATCTCAAACTCTTTCTTTAAATATTCAGCAGCATTGGCCAACTCTTCAGGAGTGCCAATGAGATTCATGTCATCTACATAAACCACAATAATAGCAAATCCGGTTTCTGATCTTTTAATAAAAACGCATGGGCAAATAGGATCATTTTTATAACCTTCCCTGATAAGGTATTCACTCAATCTATGATACCACATGCGACCGGATTGCTTTAGACCATACAATGATCTCTGTAAATTGATTGAGTGCAGCTCACGAGGAGCGCCAGAGTTTGGCATTTTAAATCCATCGGGAATTTTCATATAAATATCAGAATCTAGTGAACCATATAGATAGGCTGTTACAACGTCCATTAGACGCAGGTCCAGTCCCTCTTGGACGACCATATTGATAAGAAAACGGAAAGTGATCGTATCCATAACTGGTGAATACGTCTCATCATAATCAATCACAGGCCGCTGGGAGAAACCTTGAGCTACAAGGCGGGCTTTATATCTTACAATTTCATTGTTCTCGTTCCTCTTACGGACAAATACCCATTTATACCCAACGGGCTTTACATTATCCGGAGTTTGAACGATTTGCCCGAATACTTTCCGTTTTTCTAGGGAAGTCAACTCAGATTTTATTGCTTCCTCCCACTTAGGCCAATCATTTCTTTGGCGGCATTCCATTATGGAACGTGGTTCACTATCATAATCACCGTACATAATTTCTTGTGCAACCGAGAATGCAAAAATATTATCGATGATTATCTCATTTCTATCCCATATTTCATTGCAATAACTTATGGGATTCTCGGTATTCCCGGGTTTTGATATCGTTTTTTCGATATTAGGTTCAACAGATTCATCTGGAGCATTCTCACTAGGAACCACTTGGTTCGAGGGTTCGTCGATTTTCCCCCTTCGTTTTCTAGGAACAACGTCCTTTGATCCAATAGGTCTACCCCGTTTTTGTCTTGGGGGATCATCATTCATTTTATCATGTTCTTGAGGAACATCGATCCTAGCTGGAACATTCACAGCTGGAATATAAGACTTCGTAACTTTACTGGCATCATTAAATGCATCAGGAAGTCTATTGGCAATATTTTGTAAATGAATGATTCTATGGATCTCATTTTCACATTCAGAGGTACGTGGGTCTAGATGAGATAAATGTTGCTCACGCCATGTGAGATTCTCGATTGGTTTTTGTTTATCATTATCATGGATATTCTGAATATCCTTGCCAATCGGTATAAATAATGTCTCATTAAAGTGACAATCCGCAAATCTAGCGGTAAATAAATCACCCGTCATTGGTTCCAAGAATCTAATAATCGACGGTGAATCAAACCCAACATATATGCCAAGTCGGCGTTGGGGACCCATTTTAGTCCTCTGAGGAGGAGGAATTGGCACTTGCATAGCGCAACCAAATGTGCGAAGGTGCGAAATATCGGGCTCAAAGCCTAATGCCAATTGCATTGGGGAATGCATATGATAAGCAGTGGGGCGTAATTTAATAAGTGCTGATGCATGCAATACTGCATGGCCCCATGCTGTACTAGTGAGTTTAGATCTCATCAGCAAAGTACGAGCAATTATTTGGACGCGTTTAATCAGAGATTCCGCCAATCCATTTTGAGTGTGAACGTATGCTACTGGGTGCTCGACATTTATTCCCAGTGCTGCACAATACTCATCAAAAATTTTTCATGTAAATTCTCCGGCATTATCCATTCTTATATTTCTAATGGGATAATCAGGGAAATGTGCTCGGAGTTTAATAATTTGTGCAAGCAAACGCGCAAATGCAACATTTCGCGTAGATAATAAGCATACGTGGGACCATCTACAAGATGCGTCCACCAAAACCATAAAATATCTAAATGGCCCACTTGCAGGGTGTATTGGTCCACAAATATCACCATGAATACGTTGTAAAAACGATGGGGATTCATAACCGACCTTTTCGATGGAAGGTTTTATAATGAGCTTTCCTTGTGAACATGATTCGCAGAAATATTCATTGGACAATAAGATCTTTGTATCTTTTAATGGATGTCCCTTAGTATGTTGTACAATCCTACGCATCATAGTCGTTCCTGAGTGACCCAGTCGATCATGCCATAATCCGTGTATATTGGGATTAACAAGTTTCCATGGCATAGTGGCATAGGATTCGAAAGCTCTAATTTGGAAACAATACACTCCAGAAGTTGTCGCTTCGAGTTTTTCATGAACAATTCTTTTGTCCATAACATATGATGTGATGCAGAGACACTCCACGGTATTTTCAACCAGTGTCTCTAAATGATATCCATTACGTATCACATCTTTAAAACTCAGTAGATTCTTATTTGATCTACCTGATATCAATGCATTTTCAATATGCAAAGTGGTACCATTAGGCAACATAATTGTTGCGTTCCCGGAGCCATCTATTATTTCCGCGGAACCTGCTATGGTTTTAACTTGTGCCTTGCACAATGTCACACTCGAGAAATATATTTTATTATTGAATATTGAGTGTGTAGTTGCACTATCGAGTAGGCAATTTTCTCTTTTGTCGATGTTCTCCATGTTTGCCTGAATTAAATAACATAAAATTAATATTGAATCGTAGTATAGTTTGTAAATGATATAATAACAAACTCATAATTTTATACATAATCAAAATATCAACTCGACCTCGGGAACATAACTTCCAAGGGAGATATGTACATGGATACATCAAAAGACAAACTAGCTCAATCTCGGGTACTACATCATCCGAGAGAGATATATACAAAGTATACATAGTGAGTACAAAATAACCCAAAAGAGATGCTCATTTGGCAATTTACACAAGAGGATCAAGATCTGTAAAGAAATCTGATAACTCAAGAGAGGCTTCATCCTGAGCAGGATCTTGATCAAGCATGCTCCCAGATGTGCTGGCTTCAAGAACAGCAAGTGGCATTTCTGCCTCAATTACATTTGCCTGGACAATTTTTCCTTTGTCTCTTTTTGAATCCTGGTACAGATTTACCAGATGTTGGGCGGTTCTACAAACTTTGGCCCAGTGTCCAGTCATTCCACATCTAATACACATATTTTCTGGAATTCTCTCCGCGGGCATCTTGCCTTTATCGCGTTTTGCCTGAAATAGTTGTCTCTGCCAGACCGTATTATTATTATTTCGATGGGGATATTCATATCCACCTTGGTCATTATTTCGGGCATCTTGAGGGGGACCACGTCCACCGCCTCTGCGTGCACCACGCCAGTATCTACGCCCACGGCCTCTAAATCGGCCCATATTTCTATTTTGATTAGCATGTGCTTCAGGCACAGCTTGGGACCCACATGGTCGCAAATCATGATTTTTCAACAGCAATTCATTTGTTTTTTCTGCTGTGAGGAGTACAGAGATCAACTCCGAATATGTTTTAAACTGGCGCTGCCTATATTGCTGTTGGAGCACCAAGTTCGAGGCATGCATAGTAGAGAAAGTTTTTTCCAATTTATCATATTCAGATATTTTAACTACACACAAGGCTAATCGGGACTCAAGTTTAAACAGTGCCGAATCATAGTCGGCAACAGATTTGAAGTCCTGCAGCCTTAGATGCTGCCAATTGTATTGGGCATGTGGGAGAATCACAGTTTTTGTGTGATCAAACCTTTCTTTGAGTTTTTGCCATATCTCTGATGGCCTTTCAAGTTGTATATATTCCTCTTTCAAATCCTCGGAAAGATGATGACGAATAAAAATCATAGCATTTGCCTCATCTTTCCTGTTTGCCTCCTTGATATCTACACAATCCAAGGCTTTTACAAGATCTAGCCCTTGGAGGTGTAATTTGATATCTAAGCACCAGGATAAAAAGTTACTGCCGGTAACATCAAAGATTTGAAATTTTTGTTTTTCGATTCCGGCCATCGTAAAATAAAATAAGTAGAAATAGTACAACAAAAAGATAAATTTTACAAACCTATAAATTTGTAGAGCAAAAGCTCGTGCTGATAACGTGTTGTAGAATATAGTATAAAATATAATATAAAGAGACTATACTAGAATTAATACAAGAAAACAAGGGAATATAGCCACTCAAAGCTTCTGTATAGAAATTATGTTTTATAATAAAAGGTAATTCTTCATCTCACCTGATTACATCTATTTATACATGAGATTACCTATTACATATATGACACGAAGCATATGTTTTAGATAGTCATTAATTAAAATTAATACACGTATTAATACAAGGGTCTACAAGGCATACATATGAAGATCACGTGAAGGCATATGTATATACCTAATTCCCATGTGGTCATAACAATTACCACTTTTTAATTTTAATAAAATTACGAAAAAAAATATGGATAACGACTGAACGTGAATTATATCTGGAATTGTATAAGTCCCATAATGTACAAGTTTTAGCATATTTGCTCCTCAACAAATTTTTTGCATTCTGTAAAATGTGAACCACTACTTTTAAATAATAGACCAATCAAAGAGTACTAGATAGCCCTACCTTTATATCAAAGGGACAAAATGGTCAATTAAAGTTCCCTACATATAAAAACGTTCAATTGAGGCCAAATTTTATTAATGGTCCATCATTTTCACATTTAGTCTCACTTTGGTCCCTCGTGTCTTAATTGTCTCATTTTTATCCCTGATCTTTGTAATCCACCTCATTATCATCCCTTGGTTAATAAACATGTTAACTTTAACGAAATCTTTTTAAAGACAGGTGGAATATTCCATTGTTAGAATTATTTTTGATAAATTGTGACTTTTTTCAATAAATAATAAAGTTTGTAATTTAAAAATAATATTTGCAACCAACAAGAATGTAGCTTGAAAATAAATAACTTAAAAAACTACTATTTTTATGAAATATTAATTTATATTAATATAAAACGAATCATTTATTTTGTGGATATATGACTTGAATCTAGAAACGTATTTAAATAATTATAATATGTCATCTACATATATTCTCTATCATTTTTTTTCTATGATCTTATGTTAATATTTAAAGAACTAATCCAATTATATATGTTTTTCTAGTTTTTATTAATTTATTTATAGTTTATTACAAATAATTATAAGAATAGAATATAATCCAATAAATAAAAGATCCTGTTAAAGTTAACTAAATTATACACCGAAGTACTATATTGAGATAGATTGTAGAGTTGGAGAATGATCATGAGACAATTGGGACATGAGGGACTAAAGTGGAACTAAACATTAAGATGAGGGACTATTAGTGAGATTTGGCTTTTAATTGAAGGATGGAAATGCAATATTGTAATATCATATTATACAAAAAAAAAATAAAAAAAATCAATATAACGCTAACCTTAGGCACCCAAGAAAAAGCAAACACATATATTTTTTTGTCATCAAAATAAAATGTGTAGCATTATAATGCAACTAGCGATTTCGAACAAGCCCGTGGATTGTATTTCTTCCTTTAGCACGAGAAAACATCTAAAAGCGTGGTTTGTGCCCTCCCTTGTAATAAAGCCTAACTGTTCATCGTTAAAATGCAACGCAAAGGCCGTTTGCGATGATCTCGTTATTAATCCAACTGTTCGACGAACCGGAAACTACAAGCCTTCACTTTGGGGTTTCGATTATCTTCAATCATTGAACAGTAAATACAAGGTACATATATGTATATATATTATATATATGTGTGTGTGCGTGCACGCTCGCATTTTTAGGCTAACTGTGTATATATGCATAATGATTTTTTTTTTTTTTTTATTTATGTATGTATAGGAGGAGAGATATTTGAAAAGGGCTTTCGAGTTGACGGAGCAAGTGAAGATGGTGATGGAGGAACAAGTTATGTTAATGGATTTTGTTCACCAACTCGATTTCATTGATAACTTGCATAGGCTTAATATATCTTATCTCTTTGACCGTGAAATCGAACAAATCTTGAATTCCTTATATCATAATTGCTATAAATATTTTCACGAAAAAGATTTGTACTCTGTAGCACTTGGATTCCGGCTCCTCAGACAACACGGTTTTAGCGTCTCCCAAGGTATACATACGTACTAATTAATGTATAAATACAAGTATATATATATATATATATATATATATATATATATATATATATATATATATATATATTTTGTTGAATGACCACTTCATCTGATATGCAGATGTGTTTGATAGTTTCAAGAACGAGAGGGGTGATTCTTTTAAGGAAAGTCTTGGAGATAATATGAATACTAAAGGGTTGTTGCAACTCTATGAAGCATCTTTTCTTATGACATGTGGCGAGATAACATTGGAGCTCGCGAGAGATTTTTCGACCAATTTACTGCGGAAAATACTTGACGACCACGACCGAATCTATGATGACGATGAGGGAGATGTTTTATTACTAATGGTGCGGCACGCTTTGGAGCTCCCGATTCATTGGAGGACTCCAAGGCTAAACGCAAGATGCTTCATAGATTTATACGAGAAAAAATCCGACATGGATCCACTTGTTCTCGAGCTTGCTAAACTCGACTTCAACATTGTTCAAGCTGCACACCAACAAGAACTCAAACACGTATCAAGGTATATATATATTGTCATGAACTAATATTAAATATAACTGTTACTCCATCTGTTTCAAAATAAGTGTCACTTCAGTGTTTCAAGATTACTAGTTGTTTTTTTATACCAATTTTGCCCTTGTATCGTTCTTTAAAGTTTGTAAGGGGCAATACAATTTAGGGTTTTTCTATTAATTATATGTATGTATGTATGCATATGTAGTTGGTGGAAAGAAACAAGGCTAGCAGAGAAGCTTCCATTTGCAAGGGATAGAGTTGTGGAGAGTTACATATTAACCATTGGAGAGATGTTTCAGCCTCAATATGGATATTCAAGAATCATGGGCACAAAGGTCAATTCACTTGTCACAGTTATCGATGACATGTTTGATGTTTATGGTACTTTGGAAGAATTGCAACTCTTCAATGACGTCATCCAACGGTAATTTGAATTTTAAATAATTTATAATTAATTTGTGCGTTTAAAATATTCATTTAGGTCAAATTACGGTCACCCTGAGTTATGGATAAATTACGAAACATCGAAAACCATCTTCTGTTTGGATAATTACAGTCATACCATCAACAATATATTATCTTACAAAAATACCCCTCCAGAGGTAAATTTAAGGATCTTAAATCGTTAAAACCAAACCGAAAATTCGGTACGCCAACATTTCATACTGTTTACCAAACTGAATATACGATTTGGTTCGGTAAATAACCGAATTACATAAATTTTATGTAAAAATATTTCAAAGCAGGGGTGCTTGTAATTACCCAAACAAGAAGGATTTTTTTCATAATTTGATTATACCTTAGAGGTGACCGTAATTTGCCCTTTAATTTAATTTTTTTTTTTTTTTTAATTCAGGTGGGATATTGGTGCAATAGACCAACTGCCAGAGTACATGCAAATATGTTTTCTTGCATTGAACAACTTCGTCAATGAAATGGCTTATGATGTTCTCAAACAACAAGGATTTCTCATCATTCCATATTTACGAAAATCGGTATAGTACTTACAGCGTTAGAATCTCGATCAATTAATAACCTCATTTAGATAATAATTTATTCATACCCCTTACTCGTGACAAATATATTAAACTATTAATTCGATAAATAAATATTCTGCTAAATTAATAGAATTTTCTAGTCATATTATTCAATTAAGTATAAAATATAATATTGCAGTGGGCGGATTTATGCGCAACGTATTTACAAGAGGCGAAATGGTATTGGAGAGGGTATAAACCGACACTCGAAGAATACATGAGCAAAGCATGGATTTCAATTTCAGTTCCCGTAATCCTATCCCATGCTTATTTTCTCGTCACTAATCCGATACAAAAAGTGGGGGCACAAAGTTTGTACGACGAAGATCAATTATATCACAATGTAGTTCGATTCTCAGGCACTATTGCTCGCCTCGCAAACGATCTTGGAACATCGCCGGTTAGTATTATTAGGAAATAAAATATTATTTTATTTCATATTTATGTATCTTTTACATAATTTTTTATTTTTATTTTTTAATTAGGATGAGATGGAAAGAGGTGATGTGCCAAAAGCGATTCAGTGCTACATGAATGAGACGGGTGCTCGTAGAGAAGAGGCGCGTGAATATATAAGGTTTCTTATATACGAGACGTGGAAAAAGATGAACGAAGAACGAGTCATTACAGATTCGCCATTGCCGAGGAATCTTGTTAGAATTGCAGTCGATTTGGGGAGAATTGCGCATTATATATATCAGCACGGAGATGGGTACGGAACTCAGCATTGTCGAGTCAAGAATCGGTTTTCGGATTTGCTATTCGAGCCTATTGTATAGATATATATAAATGGGTAGGGTTATTTGGCAATTATTGATTTTACATGGGACGCATTTGGAATTAAACATAATATAAGACATTTCAACTTCATGTCAAATATGAAATATGTATAATTATATATAGGGTAAATTACAACCAACCCCTGAGGTATGGTCAAATTACAGAAAAATCCTCACGTTTGGATAATTACATCTATCTCCCTCAACTATGAATCTTCTTACACCTCCACCCTTATGGTGTCAAATTCAACATAATCATCTAGATTTCGTGGAATGTTCGCTAGTTTGTAGTCATATTGTGCAAACATACAGTTACTGATGCACTAAAATCTGATATATATACAAGTCAAAAGAAATATATTATGATATTCTTGTTTCCAAATGTGGAGCTCAAATGGCATAAAATGGGTACAAAATTGAGAATATTCCTTATAATCAGGGACGGAACCAAGATCAAAATGTAGGGGGGGCTAACTAAAATTTGAGGGTTCGGGCAGCGCCTCGAAAAAAAATTTAGGTGCACCGAACATTGCAAAAAATAATTTTATATAACTAATTTTTAATTAAAATATCATATATATATATATATATATATATATATATATATATATATATATATATATATATATATATATATATATATATATATATATCATATTATATCATCACCAAAAATTCTAAATTCATTCAAATTATTCTAATAATATACTGCACTTAATATTTCGGAGATTCATGGCACGATCTCGTCTTTTTTTTAAGGCGTTAGATAAAAAAATTCAAAAATAAGTAATATTCATAAATTTTATTTAAAATAATACAAGTTTTAACCATCTTATTTTATATTTTATATTAAATATATAATTTATATAAGATTTTGGAGAAAAAACAAAAAACTAATCGGTCAAGATAAATATTTACAAAAACTTTGGGGGTTCAAAAGTAATATTCAAAAAATTTAGTACCAAATATCTAAAAATATAGAAGATTCCACTAAATTTGAATCCATAAAGGTGGACATACATTTATAATTGAGGGGTGATTGTAATCACTCAAACAAGAGGCACTACAAAAAAAACTATTTTATGCGACGCAAGAATTCGTCGCAAAAACTCAATATATTGTCGCAAAAAAAATTAGGTGACAATATATTTCGTCACAGTGGTCGTCGCGTAGGCCCCGTCGCGAAAGGTGTTATATGACAAACCGAAGTTTTCGTCACCAAATTTTGTGACAAAAGCAAATTTCGTCACAGAAAGTTGTATTGTTGCGACGAAGTGTTCGTCGCATAAACCAAATTTGTTCGTCACTAAAACAGTTGTCGTCACAAGAAGTAATCTGTTCACTTACTTCTTGTGACAACTTATTTTGTCGCAGAAGACACAATATCTATTGAGACAATTATTTCGTCACAAAAAGTTATTTTTCAAAATTTTATTGTAAATATATAATTTGTTATATACTATTTATATTATTCATATTATTACCATTTAAATTAAAGAAACTAATAATACAATTACAAAAAACTAAACAACGATTTCGAAAATAAAATTGTATTGCAATATATCGTACCATTTCACATACAAATTAAATTGAAACTTACATTAAAATATAAACTACATAATATATAAAATACAAAGTCCTTCCTTTAGTGGAGCGATATCCTTCCTCCTCACAATCTTCTTTGCACTTCAATGGATAAGTAAAATGTAGAAATTCTATTTCCATCCATTGCTTCAAATGATGAAACGGGAGTTCTTGAAAAATTGTCTAACTTCTTAATTCTTTAAAAACCTGAAAATTAAAGATTTGTGACGTTAAATAACTGAACAAGTACCTTAGAGGGTTCTGAAATTTAATGAATTCTAACTTTTCACCATGGAAATTATTGAGCGGAATATGCAAATACTAACATGAACTTAAAGCAATCAAGTTGTAGTACTAATACCTGAAGACAAAGATGCACCTTTGCACGGAAACTTTTCCTTTCAAGCAATATGAACTTAAACGGAATCAAGCTGCAGTAATAAGGATACAAGTCTACACAACCAAAGATACGCGTATAGCAACTTTATCATATTGATCAATAATTAGTATATTGTATAATGAATACGAAAAGTATTAAGAAATCTGAAATCCATACAAACCGTACAATGAAGAGAAACCTTGACTAAGAAAGTGATTGGTTCTACTCAATCCATCCGCTAAAGGCTCATTCCTTGCTTGTTATTCTGCAAAGGAAAAATCAATAATTAGGCAACTATACTTACACACTAACTTTATGCATAGTAAGTTAAATCTTAGAAAGGAACCAAGGTGCATGCCCCTGACAACACCACCATAAGTGATTTTGATTTTGTAGCAGAGGAGAAATCCCATAGTGTTGTTCTTCCTTCAAAAAGAACCAGAGACGACATTAATTAAAACTATTATCTAAAATTTTGTGTTAGTTAAAATGAATTTTGGTGTTACAGAGGCGATTCAGATTGAAATATAATCAATTCATCACCCGCTGACATGCACAAACACTTTTCGCGGCATATAGAGTTTAGCAAGAAACTCACAATTGAAGAATTATCATGCTTGAGGCTTTTGTCTTTACGTTTCCCACTCAACTTGTTGTCTGAAGCAAGAAATTCGAATTGGTTAAAATTCCAAGGCCACCATAACAAGTAATGGAAATAAAAAATAATTTAATATGGAGCAGAATATCCTAATCCAAAAATATACTTATTAGCACAGTTACTAAGTTTCCTAAGCAAAATGTGAGATAATTTAGAACAAACACAAATCCACGTTGAATGCCAAGCTAATATAGACCAAGTCTCCTTCAATTTAAAATTGCCAAACAAGTCGGAAACTTTACAACAATCCAAGACCTGAATTCCATTTAAAGATTTGTAATTCTTTACCAACTTTCAAACCTTCCTGCAATTTCAAGAAAATTATAATTATATAAAATAACCCCATTCGTTGAATATGTAGTCAAGTAGAGGCAGCAGTATATATACCTTAGCTACATATTTAGCAATTGCAATGTTTATCACTTTCTTAATAACTTGGTGGTACACTTTCGACGGGCCTAGAATTTCCAAAAGAATCTCTTTCGGTATCTGCAAGAAGGTATATTCTACATTAGGGAAAAGAAAAAAAAAATTATTTCTACATTTTGGCGAAAACTTTATCATATATTTCTTGCGTTTTGGTTCCGGAAACTATTACAGTATTCACTACCTTTAGTTTGTCGTCTTTGTCAGAAGATGTGGCTGTAAAACTGAACTCTTCAACCGAAGAAGAAGAAGAAACTTCGAAGCCATCGACACCTGGTGTAACAGCACAATCCAAAGGAGTCATTAGTTCCAAAAAGAACATAGAATATTATCTAGCAATTAATTGCATAATCGTCGCTCGTTTTTGCACCTGATACGAGGACAACCCATACACCTGCATTTGCAGTACTCCTGCATTAGAGAAAGCATCGGTAACTAATCAATGCGGAGATATCACATATTTTCACAGTTGACGTTAACAATCAACATTAGTTACGGAAAAAACGACTCGATATTTACATCGATTTCGACTCGACTCATCTAACAGACAACAATCAATTGTCTTACATTCAGAGTCTGAAAGAGAGTACCTTTGCAGAGGTTGGTGTGTAGTGAATCCCATCTTAAGAGAGAAGCATCTTCCTTTGGGAAATCGACAAGGCACAAACACATCTGCAAATTGTCTCTCACTTGTGATAACCTGTTCAATCAATCAATCGTAATCTCATATTTCTTATTTCAAATGTAATGAAAATTACAGATACACCCATCAATCTGAAGCTGTAAATTAGGGATAGAAATTGCCCAATCTTTATCAAATTATCTACCACAAAGAAGAAAACCAAATTGAAATTCAACAGACTGCAAATGAAAAATCATTACCTTGGAATTTGAATAAGAGAATCAGTGTATTAACGGTTAACATTTCGCCTACCCCCTTTGTTCTTTCTTCTTTAGCCTACACCCTCTGTTATTTCTTCTTTATCTTCGTACAGTTGGTTAATTCACCATTATTTAGCTGAAGAGGTCTTTTTTGTATGCCAAGGTTTTAACAAATATCATATTAACCCCAATTTAAATGGAATTCAGGTATTGGAAAATACCTTTCTCAATGGCGCTTGGAATTTTTTGTGAGATTTGTGTTTTTCGTCATCTTCCTTGCTTTTGCGCTTTTTAATCCTCGGATCATCTTAATTAGTCAATCAAAAAAACCAAAAATTCATATAAATAAACCATAAGTATATTCATACAATAACTTAGAGACAGTCAGTAAAGCCAATGCCGATTTCAACGAACACCAGCGAAGCAGATGAACCAACAAAGGAGAACACAAAAGTATTTGGGCTAAATAGAATTAATTAATAGTAAACAAGAGCAAGGGGATTCCATCTATGCACTTCAATTTTTATCTATGCTCGTTTCACTCTTCATTTCTTCCTTTAGGGCTTCATTATTACACTTCCATTGAAGCACCATACCAGAAAACTCCATAATTCTGATTCAGAAAACCTAATTTAGATTCAAACACCGAAGAATTCTTCAATGAATTTTGAAAATTTAATTAGATATCCTTACTTTAGTTTTGAGGAAAAAAACCTAGTTTACGAACTTTTAGCCAAAACCTTAACATTAGATTTCAGAATTAGAGAGAAGAAAAATGACAGCGGTGTAGATGTAGAGGCTCAAAAACTCCAGTTTACTCACTTCTAACCAAAATCCTAACATTCGATTGCAGATTGGGAGAGAAAAAAATTGACAGATGAGCAGAGGTAGAGAGGCTAGAGTTAGAGATTAACAACAAAATTACCTTACTTGAATCGATTGAGAGGCTAGTGGTGACGGAGGCGGCGGAAGGCTGGCGGTGGTGGCGGAGGCGGCATGCGAAACGCTGGCGGAGGTGGCGGAGGCGACGAGCAAAACGAGAGAGGGAGTGGAAGGAAAATGGCGAGAGAAAAATAACAACAGACGGATGCAAAATAATACTGTAGATGAGAAAATTAACATTGAATTGCTAAATGACAAAAGATTTAATTGTAAAAGATTTATAATTAAATTTATATTTAATTATAAATTATTTGGTTTTGTGACAAAAGTAATTTTGTCACAATAAAAATGAATGTGACGAAATTACTTTGTCATAAAACAGCTAAATGTTATCACTAAAACGGGTGCACCAATAGTTGGAATGAGTCAGACATTTCTTTTCAAGACGAATTTATAATGTTGTCACATAAGACGAACTTAATGTGACGAAAACAATTTTGTCTCATAAAACATTACTTTATGAGACGACATCTGATTTCGTCATATAAACTTGTTATTGATGTGACGAATTTTACTTTCGTCACAATAAATTGTCACAAAAAGTACATTTTTTTGTAGTGAGGGTGTTTTTCGTAATTTAACCATGCATCAGGGATGGTTGTAATTTAACCTTATATATATGGGGTTATTTGACAAAAGCCCCTGGTTATACATGTGCAATTACAAGGAGTCCATTTTTCTTTTCTAGATTTTAAAATAAATCCAAATCATTTTTAATGTATTAAAATTAACTAAGTTTCACTATTATACCCTTATACTAATCTAAAACATATCTTAGGTTTAGAAATACATAACGTAATATCTTTTTCATAATTAAAACCCCATAAATCTCGGTCCTTAATCTCCGAACACAACCCACGCCTCATGTCTCCTCTTCGAGTCGCCATCTTTCTCTCATCATACAAAATAAAAAAAAAACCCAAAAAAACTACTGTATGTTAAATTATTTAAAACCATAATATTATCATATAATCATACAATTTTTTCCTCAATCTAGTGCGAAATAAATTATAATATTGATTTGATGTCAGGTTGAACAAGTCCATTGAAGTGCTTGAATTTTTTATTTTCATATATGTTATTATTTCCATTAACAGATGTTTGATTTTCTAATTTTTTTTGTTTTTTTTTCTTTGCTTCTCGTATATGTTATGATTTTCTTTTCTAACAAAAAAATATTTCATCCTGTTCAAGTAATGGTAATGTATGTTTTCGACATTGGTGGTATATGTGTCCGCGGGATTATGAAAGTTTTCCCAAAGGGTTGCGTTGGATATATTGAGCAATACGAGGTTTGAAGGTTGTATTAGCCTAAGGTTGTATTAGCCTCAGAACAGAAAATAATGACTCGAAAGGTGGAGTGATTTTCAATAATTATTTACAGAATTTTATAGCGTTTTTCAATAATTATGTACATATTTTTATAGTGGTTTTCAATATTTTACACAAATCACTATAAAAATCTGTACAAAAATTATAGTGGTTTTCAATAATTTTTGTACAGATTTTTAATTAACTATATATACAGAGTGGTTTTTATATTGATATAGTTATTATACAGAGTGGTTTTCAAATTTACGTAGGTGTTATACATACTGGTTTTAATGTTATGTAATTGGTATACATAGTGGTTTTCATGTTTATATAGATGTTTATACAGAGTAGCTTTCATGTTATATAGTTGTTATACATAGTGATTTTCATGTTTATATATCTGTTTATACAGAGTGGTTTTTATGTTTATAGTGGTTTTCATGTTTATAGTGGTTTTTATTTTAAAAAATTGGAAAGAAAAAAAATAAAAAAACCATTTTAAAAAAATTCGAAATTAAGAAAAAAGAAAAATCATGAAAAAACGAAAAAAAAAATTATTTTTTTCAATTAAAATAAAAAACATGAAAATATAAATAAGAAAAAAAATTAAAATAAAAAACTGAAAATAAAAAAAATAAAAAAATAAAATAATTACAAAATTTTCTTTTTAAATCGAAATAAAGAAAACCATTAAAAAAAATAAAAAAAGAAAAGGAAAAAAACTGAATTGGCGTGATTAGGGGAATAATTTTTGGAGAAAATTTGGGTGTAGATTATGGGTATAATTTTTTTTAAATTAAATAATTATACTAATTAATAATTAGTGGGGGTATATATGATTTTTCAGGCCCATTGGATTTATGTCAAATATCATTTACAAATAAATGATTTATCATGAATTAAAATCCAAATGAAGGGTGTTTGGCATATAGCGCCTATATATATACAGTCATACAAATATATGCATGGGAACTCATTCACGTTTTAAGGAAAACTCAAATCAATTATTACATGACATGATTAATAAAAGCGTAAATTACACATACACCCTTGAATTATGTTAAAAATAACTTTAAGGTCCATGTAGTATTGGTAATTATAGTTACACGCTTGAAACAATACCGAAGCCAAGAGTTTCATGTCCTGGGGACTAATATGCACTATATTTGTTTCGCGTGAGGCCGTTAATGCTGCCATAGGCGAAAAAGTATACATCTTATATAAAATAATAAGGAACTAAGAAATGTTAGGAGAGTCATGTCACCCCCTTGCTCTATGTTGTATCCGTCATTGCATGAAACTAATAGTTCGTTAGAACCATAACGGAATAATTTATCAAATGTATTAATATTTCGTCACAGTTGCTGACAATGTTTTGGGGGGTGATTGTAATTGCCGATCTACAGGGACTTTAAAGTTATTTTACCATACCTCAAGAGTGTAGGTGTAAATTACCCTTAATAAAATGCAACATTAGGGTTTCGATTGGTCAAAATCCAATGAATGTTCGATGAACCGGAAACTACAAGCCTAGTTATATATATAACTAAAAATAAAATTGATTATATATAGGGTAAATTCCATTTTATCTCTTATATTTTGCTCGATATCACTTTACCCTCATTCTACTCTCAATTGCATCGATTTGCCCCCATGTACTTGAAAAAATGTCTCAATGTGGCCCTCACCGTTAGTTTTCATATCTTTGACCTTAACATCGTGTGTTATACGTCTGAAAATTACAAAAAAATCACCCATCCCAGTTTAAATAATTATTAAAAAAAATTATGGCTGGCGTTGTGGACTATGTTTTCTCGTTGTTTTAAATTTTTTATTATTTTATTTAAACTGGGAGAGGTGACGTTTTTGTAATTTCAAAGTTTAGATTAAACGGTGTTAAGGTTGTCTGACAACAAACAACGATGGCCACATTGAGACAATTTTTCAAGTGCAGTGGGGCAAATTTATACAATCAAGAGTATAAGAGGATAATATGATACCGAACCAAAGTATAAGAGAAAAAGTGAAATTTACCTTATATATCTATACAATATATTGTTGAATGACCTACCAGTACTTTATCTGAAATTGATTTGCATTATATGGCCTAGATGTGTTTGATAGTTTTTTCAAGAACGAGAGGGGTGATTTTAAGGCAAGTTTTGAAAACGATACTGAAAGATATGATTGTTACAACTTTATGACGAAATATGATTGGTTGCAAGAGAATTTTCGTCCAATTTACCTCAGAAAAAACTCGATGATGATCAAATTGATGATGAGGATGATATTTTATTATTATTTGATGTGGGTCAGTTTGGCAAACTTCGATCATATTAGGAGAGGCGTAATGGTGGTGGTTGTTGGATTGGGTGGGAGAAGGAGAGTGGGGTGTTGAAGAGACATCACATATAAATAAGGGATTATTTTGTAGACCCCCTCATTTTCAAATTATATAGAACTAACTATCAAGTGGATTATACTTTAAGGAAAACCCCCCTCATTTCGTAAATATTTTGACATACCCCCTGGGCTACCTGAAGTTCCTATAATACCCTTCTAAAATCAGTTTTAAACCCTAGTCACTCACGGTCTCTCTCTTCTTCTCCCAGATTCAAAATCCCGGCTCCACAAACCTCCCACCGGCGAAATTGCTTCCCGGAGCCATAACTCTCTCTCCGGTGGTCGGAATTCGATGGTTTAACTACCGTTGGATTCCTCTCGTCGAGCTCTTTCTTTTGGTGGTGATTTTATTCAGTTTCGAGCGCAGATCTGTTTCTGCAATTTTTTTTCTTTCAAGGATGGTGATCTTGTCGGAGCTTTATTTTGTGTTCCACCCGTCGAAATTTGACGGGTCACCCACCGTTGGATTCCTCTCGTCGTGATCTATATTTTGATGGTAATTTCGTTTATTTTTATATTTTCAGATTTATTTCTATATTTTTTTGCATTTGTGGCGGAAACCGTGGGTGGTTATTAGCGGCGTCTAGGGTTTTGGTAGGAGGTGAGGGGGTGAGGAGTCACTGTCTGTTTTGATTTAAAATTTGTATCATTTCCCAGCAATAACCTCTCTCTCTATCTCTCGATCTCTTAGTGTTTGTTGATTTTTTGAGTGTTTTGATGTCTTTCTTCAAATTTTGTTGATTTGCACTAAAGTAATTTCTTTTTGTTTTGATTTTGCAATTGTAGCTTAATGAAGGCCATTGATCCTTTCCTTGAAGGTGTCAATTTTTTTTTTTTTGAAGTTACATCTGATTTGTTCAACCGACTGTATACATTACTGTACATTACTATACATTACTATAGTAACATGTAGTTACATATGCGTATATTTGTGTATTTTCGATTTGCTTTTTATTGGTTCTGATGTGATTTATAATAAAAATATTGAAATTTGTAAATTTTTGTTGGGGTTTTATGAATTTATTTTGTGTAAGTCAGTATTCGTGTGTGTACACAATTGATCGACTAAAAACATGGGAAAAAAAACGAACATAACTATGAATTACTATAGGTACTATAGTTACATGTAGTTATTTTCAGTGTTGTAAACATATTGTTTTGAAAATTAAAAAAGAAAAATTATAAAAAATTATTTTTTTTAATTTAAAAAAAAAATAAAAAATTAAAAAAATAAAAAAATTAAAAAAAGTAAATATATATATATTTAACAAACAGGTTTATAAAAAAAAATAATAATAATAATAATAATAATAAATAAATCAGCGAAAATGATAAATGCAGGACCATATATGTTGATGCAGTTTGGCCGAAAATTGCATATAAGGGTAGTATAGTACTTTCGCTTCTCCAGGGGTATGTCAAATGATGATTTGGACTTGGGTTTATCCCTAGTTTATTTGGCGGCTAGGGGTATGTAAAATAACCCCTATAAATAATTATTAGAAGTTTGTAAAAGCTTAGGGTTAAACATAAGGGTATAATGGTGAGACTTAATTATTTTTTATTAGTTAAAAATATTGTGGATTTATCTTAAAATAATAAAATATTTTTGGAGTTTTGGCAAATAATCCCTTAAATAAAACATAATGACGAAAAAACCTAGAGAGAGAAACAGAGGATAGAGAGATGGGAGACGATGGGGTGAAGAACGAGGCAATGGAGATTCTAGGTCTGTTTCAGTTGCTGCCTCGCCTCGTCGTTTTCGATCTCGATTACACTCTCTGGCCTTTCTACTGGTTCGTACTTCCCCCCCACCTCTCTTTCCCTTTTTTTTTTCTTTTTTTTTTTAATTTTAATTTTCTGCTTTCTATTTCAAATTAATCGATTCTGGTTTTCTCCAAGCACTTGTAAAATCTACAGAGTTTCACAGTCTTTCGATGGTGAATTATTATTGGGGTTGTTGTTAGCTTTCTGTAATTATTTTTGGGGGGGAATTTTTGAAACCCCAAAACGAGGCCTTACTGAATTAAGAAATCCCAGAAATGATTTTTATGTATTCCTTTGTTATTAGTTATTATTATTATCTTGTCGATCGATTCGGAGATTATTAACTGAATTATGTACAGCGAATGCCGCTCGAAACGTGAAATGCCGAAATTGTACCCTCAAGCAAAGGGGGTTCTCTATGCTCTAAAGGATAGAGGAGTTGATGTTGCTATTGCCTCAAGATCGCCCACTCCTGATATAGCAAACGCGTTTCTCGATAAATTGGGGATTAAATCGATGTTTGTTACTCAGGTAAGATAGACTGTGCAGTGTATCTGTCGGCATTGACTGAGCAGAATCGTGTTTATTTATTTACGTGAATAACCGAAATTCTTGAGAGATACACATGTGTCGATGCATACATACTTTACGCATACCCACATATTTATGTGTGTAATGGTATCTAAAAGACGTGGTTGAAGACTACTACTACGAGGCTAATAAAAATGATGCATTGTTCGTAAATTTAGGATTTATTTGAAGAAATGAAAGTGAATAAATTTTGTATTGTTCGTAAATTAGTTCTCTCGGCATTTCTACGAATCGTGATTAAATTTGTAATTCTTTTGGTATTCGGTGAATCTATACGCTCATTTTAAATGTTTATAGCAAGTGTTTAAAATGATTTCTCGAACATTATTTGCAAGCGCTGACTCGTGCTGAATATTTTCTAAAATAATTTCAGGAGATATATTCTAGTTGGACCCACAAGACTGAACATTTCGAGAGAATTCATAGGAAGACTCGTGTTCCTTACAATGAAATGCTCTTTTTCGATGACGAGGATCGAAACATAGATGCAGTAAGATCTCTTCATTAGTAGTTCTTTATTTATTCTCGTCTTGAATGTTATCACTTTTTTTAATTCTGCAATTATCATATATACGTACAGGTATCTAAAATGGGTGTTACGAGCATCTTGGTCGGCAATGGTGTGAATCTAGGTGCATTGAGACAAGGGCTCTCCAACTTCTCACAAAATCGTTCGTCTTCAGAAAAAGGAAAGCAAAAAAAATCGAAAAAGTCAAGTCCATCCAAAACAGAGGACCAATAAATTATTTGCTTCCTTCTTTGAAATATGACAGCTTAAGATTACCTATGATGAATTCATATTATTCTCGTCAGATACATATACGAGACACATTTTTTACGATTTTTGAATTGGTTGTACTGTATTGTATATGTTTATTCAAATACATGCTGAATTTTCAGAAATGTTTGATTTATGACTTATGCAAAGGATATGTTATTATGAATATCGAAATTTCGTTAAAACTGCTAAATTCTTCCGTCCAAATGCAACCTTAAAAAAATCACCAACAACCTTAAAGCTACAAAAGAATCACAATGCATTTTTTTTCTCATTCAGACATGTCCAGTTCATCGTAAATCGGTGGAAACAGTTTCGGTTTACAGTTTGCATTTATAACAGAAGAGTTACATGCAATATAAAATGATGTTTACCTCAAAAGGGACAGAACCTAAAAGTTCAGCTCTGTCAATGGAGCTCTTTCCTCCAAACTCACATGGATTGATTTCCTTGACGGTGAAATGAGAGCGTCGTAAAACCCATCATCCAACAATATATTTCTTGCGGGTTCACTTTCTTCCTCGGAATTGTGTAATATCTTCCCCAACATAACTGCCAACTCAGCATCTTCATTGCAGAAAACTCCAATTTGCCCGTAGATACCTTCGTATTGTGCAAGTAAACTCTCCCTTTCAATCGATGATTTCACAAGATCTTCAAGCAAAGCTTGTTTACGAGACTCGAGCTCCTCATTACACCTCTTCTCCTTTCCAAATTCACTATTCAGCTTGTTCAATTCTTTCTCCAAATTGTCGATTATCTGATTTTTCTCTTCAATCTCCAACATTTTGTGAGCATGGCCTGTCTTTAAGGCTTCATCGAAAACAGCTTCCATCTCCGTAAAAGAGATCATAGCCCTTTTGAAATCCTGATCCAATGATTCAAACTCCTTCTTAAGTTCTTGTATTTTCCAGTCTTTCTCTTTAATATCAGATGAAAACCTTTCGTGTTCTTTCTCAAGAGTTGTATTTTCAGCTTCTTTTTCAACCAACTCGTTCTTTATTCGAGCAATCTCGTTCTGAAGCCTTGTAATGCTGCAGTTCATATCTTCAGCAAATCGGATGTGATTATTCTTCTCTCGGTCGAGCATTTCTGCAGCCTCGGCTTTTATCAAAATCTCCGATTCCAGCACACAAATCCGATCCTGTAATTTGCTAATTTCGGCATCTTTCTCTTGCGAAGTCACAGCAAGGCTGGCTCTTTCTTGAATATGTGCTTGCTGATTTTCATCCAACTTTAATTTCAGGACTTCCATCTCCGACTTTGACTTTTGCAATTCAAGCTTGTATTGCTCGACTTCAGTTACTCTATTCGCAAGCTCAAAATTTACCGTCTCCAAAGCACTTTGTATGTTCTTTCTCTGGCTATTTTCCAATTCAAGAAGTTGCTGTTTCAATCGGCATTGACATTCATTTGATTCATCAAGCATCGCTTTATACCTTGTAAATTCTTCCTCCACGCGGTAATCTTTATGCTTTAAGGAATCTAAAGACTCAATCCGCTCCATTAATTCTGCCATCTCATCGCATCTCTGCTTCAAATCACCTCGTATTTTATGTAGCTCAGTGTCCTTCAATTGCAACTGCTGATTTAGAACCGAATTTTTATCTTCAGTTTGCATAATCCCCATCTCCAATTCCTCTTTCGCATCGTACAACTTTGAATAAGCACCATAAAATTGAGATTTCAACACCATCATTAAAGCAAAAATTTCTTCATTCTTTACCTCCAATAGGGACTCGCAATCTTCCAATTTCTTGTGGAGTTCTCCTATGCTTTTATTTTTGCCATCCAACTCAGACAAGCAACAGTTCATATCCGCATTCAATTTTTCTGTCCAAGAATTCCATTCAGCATCCTTCTCTTTAAGTATTACAGCACATTTATCATGCAACTGTTCCAAACCTCGAAATTTATTCCGCAACTTTTTCAACGAAGATGCGGCATTGTTACTAATCTGAGCCTCTTGAATATCTTTCAAAGACATTAGCAAATCACCATTCTCTTGCTCAAGTTGTGCAGTTTTGTAGTTCATTTCATTGGCAAGCATCTCTTTCTTCCTCACTAGCATCCGTAGATCCGCAATCTCTTCATCCCTCTTCACCGCCAACTCCTCAAACTCCGATTTTGCCACCTGGCAATCTCTCGAGACATCCTCGAATCTTGATCTAGTTTCAGACACCTCAATTTCCAGAACTTTCCTTCGACTTTCTTCGCGAGCCAAAGCTTGATTACTCATCCTCATCTGAGTCTCCAAACCTTCCGAAACTCGAATTTGAGCATCCAAAGCAGATTGAAGTGAAGTGATTTCACCAATAAATGAAGATTTCTCTTTCTGCCACTCGATCTTACTCGCCTCAAACTGAGTCTGGATCTTCATATGTGCTTCTTCGAGGTGGGAAAACTGCTCGTTTTTCCATTTCAACTGATCTTTGTTTGTCCTATTTTCCTCCTCCAGTTTCAGTATGTATTCATCTCTCTCTTTCAGATCTTTCAATACATTCTTCTCCGCTTCAAGTGTCTTCTCTGGTTTAATCGATAAGTGCCTCTTAAGACCAGCAATTTCCTCCGAACTTGCACAAGTCCTCTTCTCAAGATCCTGGATCCTCTTTGATGCTTCGTCTAAAGCCAAGACCAAATCCTTATTTTCACTTTCCAATACTAAAATTTTCTCGGAATACTCTGCACGAAGCTTCTCGGTATTAGAGCTAATTTGCTGGAGAAACAAGTCTTTTCTGTGCAAACTGGATTGGAGTTCCTCATACATTTGCCTAATCTCACATATCTCCACAGACTTGGCATTCAACTCTTGGGCCAGTTTATCGATCTCCGATTTTTCTTGTTGGATTTTGGCTAGTTGCTCAATGTGGGCTTTCCTCAAACTATTGGAAAGCTCTGTTTTGGCACGGCATTCTTCTCTGAGCTTTTCGGCCTCAATTTTAACTTCCTCCAGCTCTTCGTAAATTTTGTCCATTTCCTTTACTAGCCTGTTCACATAAGATGGAAACTCTAAATTAGCATAAATCTGTTTTTATTAAAAACTAATCACTAAAATAAACAATAGAAAAGTGATCTTTGCAAGTGTATTTGCCAGAACATGTTTTTCAGAAATTGTCCCAAAATTAGATATGCATTGTGATTTTTTTCATAATTGATCCTCGCATAATTGACCCTACATTTAATTCACAGCATAAACTGTAAAGAATTCGACAGTCAAGTACAGTTATTAATATCCAATTAACTACACTACCCCTGAAGAAAAAAAATCAAAGACCCAATCATATGCCCCAAAAATGAGAAACAAAATGTGACGATAAAATATTGTCGAACCTCACGAATTTCACAAGCTTGATCAATATTGATTACTGTTATTCATCCAGCAGCATAATAAAAATGATGAACAGGGGAAGACAAGGCATGTTAATCTCTCTCCACGAAAATTGGAGCAATCTCGAAGTTTCTGTATAGCTACTACAACAGAAATTGCAAACCCTAAACCACAGAACGATAAATTGAAAACTTAAATTCAGAGAATAAAAAGGAAAAAGTTTCACCTTGCCGACGTTGTAGAGTGAAGTTCCGGCGATTGATTGAAAGGCGGAGGAGCGGAGGAGAGAGAGAGAGAGAGAGAGAGAGAGAGAGAGAGAGAGAGAGAGAGAGAGAGAGAGAGAGAGAGAGAGAGAGAGAGATGTACCGTTGTCTGAGCGGGAAAGCAGTGTTTATTTCGAAATTTTGACAGATCTCCAAAGGCAAAAGATCTTGTACGTTTATGGATGTTATAGATTCTGAGGGAATATTTAATTTTTATTATTGGAAAAAATACAGTTTTAGTCCCTCAAGTTTGCATTGATTCCACATTGGATCCCACGTGTTCACAAAAAACATATTTGATCCGTCATATTTCAAAATTTCAACATTTTTTTAGTCATTTTCATCAATTTTCCGTTAGCACTGACGGAATCAAGCGTTTTCCCATCAATTCTTTAACCGGCGGAGTAATGGTAACTTGACAAAAATGACCAAAAATGTTAAATTATTAAAACATGATGGACCAAATGTGTTTTTTATGAACATGGGACCAAATGTGAAATAAGTGCAAACTCAAGAGGTGAAAACTGTAATTTTCGCTTTTATTATTTTACAAACAAATCTATACAGCACACAACATATCAAATAAATCATAGCCTGTAATTCAAATTTTAAAAATAATTATGTTATTAAAATTTGGTGAAATCAAATTAACTATAGACTATAGAGTTCTGTTTAAAGAATATATAAATAAAGAAATGCATAATATTTTTAAATCAAATATATTGTACTAATTGTTAAAAAAAATCATAGGGACAGTTGGTCATTTTCTTTACGTGAAACTATATAAAATGCGATAGTAAATGCAGCCCATTAATAAAAAAAACAATAATAAAAGAAAATAAAATAAACAATAAATAAAACAACACTATCTTTACATACAAAGTACAAACAACTGGGATTAACAAAATCATTCACACTGTTAGCAATGTAGCATATTCAACTCTATGTAACTTTACAGCAGACTCCGAAACGTGATTCCACTCGTTACGAGAGGGGAAAAAAATCATATTAACCGAACTTCAAATGTTGATAAATTCAAATAGTGGGATCCGAGGTTTTATATATAGTTCACATCAGATTATGGCTAATCCCGGATGAACGTTTGATCTGGCTGATGATTCAAACATGATCTGCGATCAACAGTGACTCGAGTTCTTCTCTACGTCGCTCGAGCTCCTGCAGTTGTTAGCTTTATATAAATACTCCACATTTAAAAATAAAAAAATAAAGCATGGATATAACTGGAAGAACAGCCAAAAGCAAGAAAATAGTACAAACTTCATACTTAGCAGGTCGAGAAACCAGTTCATAACAGTACAATTAGGCTCCGTTTGATAGAATTAAGCGCTGAATGCTGAATGCTGAATACATAACTGAATGGATAAGATCAATGTCTGAATGCTTCATGCTGAACGTTTAAGCTTGTTTGATAACTAAAAACCTATTGTATCTGAATAATATGTAATTTTACATTACTAGCCCCATATTGTTGAATATATATATATATTCATAAACAAAATTATGAATAATATATAAATAAAATTCAGTGGCCATTGCAATTATTAATATTATATATTTTTATTAATAAAAACAAATATTGTAAATGAAATTATATATATAAATGTTCAATTTTTAACATAATTCTAATTTCTCACCGAAAAATCATCTTTTTAATTATAAAATAATAAAATAATTTAATTAAAAAAAATATAGCTCACTTTTCGAAACCTCTGGCAACCATAAAGTTCTCCAACGCCTCCTTATCTCTCTCTTCAACCATATGTGACTATTTTTCGTATATATAAATAATAACAGGAACATGACTGTGAAGATAGAGGAGTTTGTTGAAAAGAGTCAAAAAACTTATAGGATATTTTTTTCTAAATTCCATTCGGTCAATCTCTGAACGAATAAGTATTAATTTATTGACTGAATCGGTAAGCAATATTTCATTCAATTCAGAGCTCCCTACCAAACATGTTGAATTGGTTATCTCTGACCGAATAAGTGTTTATTGTGTATTAAGAGGTCATTCAGAGCCTATCAAACGGGCCCTTAGTTTTCCCTGGTTATATTTTGAATTGCAGGGTAGTTTTTCGAGTGTCATTTATTGCTAGCTATTTCCTCAAAAATGTAACTAGAATCAATTACGTGTAACCTAGTAATGATTATTTCTTGGTCTCGAGTAATTGTTACTTGAATTTGTTTAAAAGAATCTAAGTTTTAAAGGTAGAACCGATGTTGAAGATTATGATGACATCTATTTTTTCCCAATCCGTAAAAGC